CAACAACAACAACAACAACAACAACAACAACAACAACAACAACAACACTACAACAACTCACCAACGATGCAGGGCTACAGAACAAATAAAGCAAAACACATGGAATATTCATGAGTATTCAATATGAATCATAATTGTATTATCAAATATGGAACAGTATCATACAATGTCATACAGTATCTCAGTACAGCAACGAGAGTTTCTTTTGAGTTTCACACCACCAGTCCATAACGTTCCTTTAAGATCGCTTGGGTGTCTTGCGTTTTGTCCATGTTTCTGCTTGTTCGACACCGTGTCGACACATGTTTCTTATCTGACACCTACCGGTGTAATACAGTGGCCTTGACACCCTGGCTTGTGGTATGACTGGTCTTAGAATCAAACACATCTACCTACAATACATCTGCGCATTGACTGCGAAAGCCACATGCAACGATGGAACATTTATGTTTCACCCTAGCCCAGGCATAAATGACGTCATCATCATCATCATCATCATCATCATCATCATCATCATCATCAAACAAAACATTGTGACATCATCTGGCTGCGGCTCATGCCCAACATACATACATATATATATATACTGTGTATATATAATATATAATCAACATACTTTGGGAAGCATCCATAATGTCATTTTTGAATTCGTCTCTTCTTCCAGGTGTAACAAACGTTCTCAGCATGTTGGTGCGACCGCACAAACCCACCACACCTAAGGCCGATGTACGCCTGACCAGGCCTCACTGCTCTCGCACATTTCAGGAAGGACTGTCAGAAGTTACAAGGGGTGGCTCTTGGATGAAAGTTATCTCGTGGAGCTCTTGTCGGCTCAATCTATTTTTCTGACCGGTTGCAAAGGTCTTCTCCTCACAATAGGGCTTATGAGGTACCCGCTGGTCGAGCAGGTGTCGAAGCCAGGCTCCACACGTGCAGGCGCAGGTGTCACCCACAGCCTGGTTACACTCGCCGCACTGCGTTCTCCTGGGAGTCACATCAGAATCTTCGAGACAAGAAAAATAAGATAACAACATTGCTTTCCAACTCACTAACATGCAAACATGGCCTGTCAAGGAAACTGGTCTTGGAGGATGTCAGAGTATCTTGGAGGATGCTAGGCTTGTACCACATGGATTCCACTTGGCTTGTACCACGAATCCTGATCCTGAACATAAAACACCGAGTTGTTCACCCCGCTCGCATGGTCGATGCACGTGACCGTCGTGGACTCCACGTCCCGTGCGTCGTTTCGGCGCTCCAAACGGTCTGCTCGTTGCGGTCATAGGCGTTGCTGGCGGGCCAACTCCTCGGGAGACGCTGCCCGCTGCCCGGTTTTTCTTTGAATGTTTTGTTGACCTCGTGGAACACAGCGCACCAAAGGTTTACCCCCCTAGACCCAGAAACTCAACAGCCGCTGGGTGACTCTCCAGGAAAGGCCCTCCAAGCAGCATTATCTGGTAACTGCGAAAGGATGGGCAAGTTTTCAGGCGGACTCCAACATGGACTAGGAGCAAGGACGCTACAAGGGGCTCCTGGCCTTACTACTAGGA